GAGTGAGTGAGGGGGAGAGAGGGGGGAGAGAAGGAGAGGAGCCGGAGAGAGGCCCGGGGGCCAGGGCAGGTGCCCCCACCCCTCGCCCCACTGCACCCCCACCCCACTGCGTCTACATGACTCTTCAGGCGGCTGAAATAAACAGCGGAGCATCACCCTTTCCTCCCAGTGCATCTCTGGGGTTGGGCTGGGGTGGATGGGGACCAGCATGCCCCTGAGCCATCTCTTCCCCAAGCTTCCGGTCCCCCCAAAACTTGTGTGTCCCTCACACTGAAGGTGCCCCAGAGCATTTTTCTGCCTGTGGCGCTGGGTTTCCCAGTTGCACTGGGTGCGGGAGTCCTGCTGGGATGGGAGGCAGTGGCAGCCAAGACTTTAGCAGGTTTGGAGGGGCTCTGGGTGACCGTCCCCTGCCCCTCCATACACCCGGGGACTCACACCACGGCCTGGTGGCTCTCAGCCCCACAGCCACCTCCCTTTCTGCCCTCACCTGGGCCAGCCCTGCCCCAGACCCACACCTTCCTGGGACCTCTCCAAGACCCTGCTGTTGCCAGCGACCTGCAAGCAGAGCCCACTTCATCCCAAACCTACCTCCTCCCCAGCACCCTGTGGGTATCAGCCCCACCAACCCACGCCTGCCTCTAGCCCAGGCTCTACCTCCAGCCTTGACCTGCCCCCTACAACCTCCCTCCACCAACACACGTGCCCCCCTCCCCATGGTCGGTGTGTGGGGGTCTTGGCTTTGGCTCCTTCACCCCAGCGATGGGGGATGCAGCAGGTGAACCCAGGGCCGAGCATCCCCCTGGGGACAGAGATCCAGGGTTGCTCTGCCCCGGGAGGCGTTGGAGGGTCTGCGCCCGCCTGCCAGGCAGCAGAGCCCTGGGCGGGCAGTGAGCTCGGCAGGGGTTGGCATTTTAGGGACAAGGCTGGTGCTGCTGGCAGCAGTGGGGACGGGGCTGGGGGGTCCCTGATGGAGAGGCCAGCATGGTGAACCCCAGTTTTGGCTGCGGGGGGATGTGTGTGTCAGATCTCAACGGTTGTCTCCAGCAGGTGGCCCTGTGACATCGAGGATGGTCCCCAGGGCTGTCCTGGGGAGGGACACCTCCCTCCCTGCCGGGCCCAGGCTGGTTAGGCCAGCGGTCTGCCCCAGGGGCAGGCGGGGACAGGCAAGGGACAGAGCAGCCCTTTGCCCACAGGGCAGTTCAGGAAGGGAAGAGCCCCCCAAACCTCTCATGGGCTTCTCCTCCAGCCACCAGAGATCCTGGGGCTTGCTCAGCCACTCTAGAACCGAGCTGTGGGTCTAGCAGGGCACCTCGCTCCAGTGTACCCCAGCCACCGAAAGCGGGGGGGATCCTGAGATCTTCTCCTCGCCAGTGATGCTTGAGAGGTGCCCATGCCCTTGAGTTGGTGGCAAAGGACTGTGCCAAAGCTGTCCGGGCTGGTCTGCAGCTGGGAAGCAGCGTGCTGTGTTGCTCGCATCCTGCTCACCCAGATTTACAGCCCCTGGCGAGGGCGGCCGCGGCCAGGTGCCGAGACGTGTGCCATCGCGCCGGGAGTTGGGGAATCCCTGCCTCGCCTGGGGGTGGCGAGGCGGTGCGTGGCACAGGCAGTCCCCAGTTGCTGACTGCCTGGAGTGTAGACTGCGGGAGCCCTCATGGGGCACCCCAAACCCAAACAGCGGGGTGCTCCTGCTCTGAGCAGGGCTTGAACGGGGGGCTGGCTGGAACCCACACTGCCCAGGGCTCGGTGAGAGAAACGGGGTTTCACTGTGTTTGCAGCCCCCGGATGGGGTGGATGTGGGGTGAGCAGGGATGCAGGGAGCACCGCACTCCGTTGCCTGCTGGGGATGGGGCAAAGGGGCCCCGCGGGACTGGCTCCTGCCCGGGGTCTCACATTGCAGGAAGCATGACGGTGTCCTTTCCCTCCACATGCCACCAGGGTCTCTCTGTCCTGATCCGGTGACACTGCTGGAGAAGGGGAAGGGGAGGAGGAAGGCTGGGTCCCCCCCGAGCCTCGCTGCTAATATGGAAAGGTGCTGGCCCCTTTCTATCTTTGCAAGCGGAGCTGGGCTGCAGGGCCGGGGCGGCGGGCGCAGAGAGGGGGAGCCCAGCCAAGGAATGTGACATATCAGAGGCAGCT